AACAACCCTATCAGCAATTCCATTTTTGCAGAAAAGGAAGCTGAGGCACGGAGGGCTAAGTAACCTGCTCAGGTCACACAACTAGTCAAGGTGGAGTCAGGGTTTACTATAGAAATTTTGCTCTTAATTACTACACTGCATCTCCCTTTGATGAACAAAGTGGTTTCCAAATGTGATCATGGCTGCAGTCATCTACTGTCTGGGTGGGAGGCAGACTCAGAATTCCCTTCCATTGGTTCTGTCCCTTCCTCTGCTCACAAGTATCCTTTTTGAACCCATGTGTTAGGGTTAAGATTTAAGGTTTACTAATACCATATTCTTTCTTCCCTGTCTGCAAAATTCCAGAGAATCTGGAGAGAGAGAGAGAGAGAGAGAGAAAGAGAGAAAGAGAGAGAGACTGAGACTGGGCTGGTTATGGAATAAGGTTTGCTGAGATAAGGTATTGGGAAGTGATAAGTGCCAGGTGGCTAAGGTTTGTGAGCAACATAGAATCATGCTGCTACAGCTATAAGGTCTTTTACAAGGTGCAGCTTTGGAGAATCTGTCCATTCCTTTTGGTCTCTGCACTATACCTTGTTAAAATTGCGACTTGGTACATATGCTGGTTCTTGTGAACCCTGAAGCTTATATGCAGGTTACAAGGAGAAGACAGATCAGACAGTGAAGGTCAACAGTGCAATCTCTCCAGCTAGGATAAATTGGGTTTGTGGGACTCTAGGAGTACAGTTTGGAGGAAGTCCCTTTCTAGTTCCCTTAATCCATTCAACCCTGAGGGAACCACAGTAGGTACCACAGGGAAAGCAACTCAGCCTAGTTTCTCAGCTGCAGCTATCTCTGGAATGAAGAAGTTCCCTTACCCAGCCTGGCATGACTGATCTTGGTAGTAAGGGTGAGAGGGTTTAAGGACCAGGGATCCAAGATGGCCTCCCAGGGAAGAGGCTACTCCAAGGGACACTAGCTACTGCCACCCCCACCAGCCCTCCCCTATCTCTCCCTCCATCCTGTGACCTGGTTTGCCTCTCACACTACCATTCCCCTCCCTCTTCTCTAGGATGCTTTCAGCTCTTGTCAAGACATTCTGTGACTACTCTCCTCCCCCCCATTTTCTCAGACCAACAACCCTCCCCTGCCTGAATCATCTTGCAGGAAGTGGTTGTCCTGGCACACTACCTCATTCTTGAATACAGTAGACCTTTGGTATTCTCTGGTATATGGTTCCAAGACTGCCATTGAGGAAAAGCTATGAATATTCAGGATGCCTAGAGTTTGTTACTGTACTGTGGATGCTTGATTCATTTTTCCCACAATGCTGTCCAACTTCTGCTAAAAGATTGTGCCCTCAAACAAGTCTCAATTTTTCACTTTACATGCCCTTTTTAGCTTGGGAGGATTACCATAGGTTTTACCTTGCTTTTGCTTTGGAAGATGCATACACAAAATTACGGACAAGGAAACAGCAGATCACACAATAATTTAAGCATAACTGACAAAAATGCAGGAGTGACTGAGAGCTTCTCCATACCTACTGAGTTTTGTAATGTTTCTGAAATTTATTTGACTGTACTTGGGCAAAAACATGTGTAATAAATCTTCAAATAAGGCAGGCTTAAGCCCTGGAAATACACCCTCCCTTCCCTGAGCCCACTAACCTGCCTTGTGCCCCTCTACATGGAGTTAGGCTGACATCTGGTGCAGACCTGCCCTGTGCCAGGCTGAAGTCTCTGCACTGTCACAGGAGACTGGGCAGTGCTCACCCAGAGAAGTGAAAGAGGTCAAGGGGAGTCTCACTGCCAGAACAGCAGAAGTGATTCCTCTTTAGAGAGGAATCTGGGATAGACTCTGCTGTGCCCAAATTCAAATGCACAGAGGCTTTAGCATTGTCTCTGGAGCTGGGGGTGTCTTCACCCCTTGCCTTTGTTCTCATCTCTGTCTTGCTTTGTTTCTGCCCTTATAAATGCTGAGAATGAACAAATGAAAAGGGGAAGAAAAGACTTGTGCCTTTCTGAAGCCCAGGGAAAACCCCCTTCCAGCTCCTAGTGACCTTAGAATCAAAGGGTTCTCTTAGCCCCACTGAGCCCAGGCTACAGGGATCCCCTTGAATTTGCCTTGTCACCGCAGTGAAAGATTATGAGGACACAGACAGACAGATACAGAGGCACAGACAGACAGAAACAGAAGACAGACACAGGGAAAACCATGCATATTCAGAGAGAAGAAAGACAGAAATGCACCCAGAGGAAGACATGAAAAAAAAGATAGAAATAGGAAGAGAGATAGAAAGACAGATAGAGAAATGAGAAGAGAAGCTGAGAAAGGGAGCCAGAGAGAAAGAGAGAAGGGAGATACAACCCATGGGCCAGAAGCCTCCACCCACCTATATCATCTAGCCAAAGAAGGGAAGTAAGTGGGCCTGAGGGAGGAAGCTAGGTCTCCCTCTTTGTGGCTTGCCCCTGACCCTCTGGCCCTAGTGTCCTTAACTTGGGGTCAGTGAACTTAGATGGGTAAAAAATTACATCATTTTTATTAGTCTCTAGCTGAAATTTACTATTTCCCTCAATTATAACAATAGCTACAAACCAGTCAAATTAGCTGAAACTATGGATTTGCCACTACAGAAATCACATATATTTTTCATATCATAGTACAGTATTGCAAATCTTTGAAATACCATTTATGCTCATCATTGCTAGAAAATCATGCAAGGTATCAACCTACCACTAGATCTTATTTAAAGCATTAATAAAAAGCACATCTATTACTATATCACATTAAAAATAATTTTGTAACTTTATTGCAATACAATTGGTTTCCTTTACAATCCTATATATTTTATTTTATGTACTTTAAAACTTATTGTAAGACAGAGTCCATATGCTTTACCTGACTGCCAAAAGGGAACACAGAACAAAAAAGGTTCAGAACTCCTACATCTGACCAGGACCTCTCAGCACCCTCTCCTCAAGCCCCTGTGCCTTCTTTTGTTCCCCTTCTCTTGCTGGGTTAGTCCGAAGCCTCCAACAAGAAGCAGCCTAAGGCAGGATGAAACACAAGGGTTTGATTAGGGGAAATGCCTATGAGAGAGGAAGGGGCCTTTGGGCTAGGAGGGAGAGAGGGAAGGAAGGTTGGGAAGAAGCATGTAAGACCACCATGCAGTTGAGGGAAAGTTCCTGATCTCTGCTGAGCTCTACCATTGGCTGGGAGCAGCATTGTGGAAACTGACCTTAGAGCAGGAATTCATGAGTTTCAGAGTGAAGCAGCTGGGGCCTTGATTATTTCACTGCTTATTGCTGGAGGTCTGTGAGGGGCATTCTCTCTACCACTGTTGCCCATCCGAGAAAAGGACATGGTGCTCCTCCTTACGCACCTGTTCTGTGGTCCTCTCCAGAGCTATCGATGGCTTGGAGAGCTGGTCCTTTTCTAGCTGTAGAGCAAGTTACTTAATGTTCTCAGTCTCCTTATCTGTAAAATAGAGGTGATAAAAGTCCCTATCTTATAGAGGTATTTCAATGATTAATTGAAGTTTGCAAAGCAATGTTTGCACAGGGCCTGGGACATGGGCAGCTCTCAATAATTGGTAGCTATTATTGTGGCCATTTTAAGTATTAATTATTATTATCATTCTCTTTCTCAAAGGGAAGGCCCTGGGGAAGGGCTGTAGGATGACAGCCCTTCACTGGGCTGGGGCAGCTGGGAGAGGTGGGACCCACTTCCCCACACTCCCCTGGTCTTCCTCTGAGGCAGGGGTCTTTCCTTAGCCACTGATAGTTCCTGTGTCTGCTGACTCACAGCCAACTTCCTCTCATGCAAACAGGAAAACACACAGTGAGCCAGTGCACCCCCACACCACCCCACACATCTAAACACTGGTGCTCTGAGGGGGAAGTGCCTCAGGCCCTTGGGGACAGGCTCCAGGACTTGGGATCCTGCAAATGGGGGAGGGGAGAGGAGCTGTTTTTTCCTCAGCATCACCCACCTCATTCCACCCCCAGCCCCCAGCATTTTCAGGTGGGAACATCAAGAGAAGAGGCTTCTCTCAAGAATGAAAAAGTCACTTGTTTGGTCACTGTGCTTGCAGAGCCTTATCCCCAGAAAGGCAACCCCAGACTTTGGTTTGGAAGTGAAGTGTTGCTTTGCTGATCTCCATTCCTCGGAAGAAACCCTAGGGCAAGGAAAGATGGGACTCCTCTGCTGGCCCTCTGCACCTGTTTGCCCAGGCCACATCGCTGGGCTCCAGAGAGGCTCCTTAACTTCGAAGGCATTGTCCATCCATGTTCCGTCCAGCATTTACACCCAGTTGGGTGCCAGGATCCAGTCGCCCTGCGGGGCAGGTGAGCGTTCCCTAGAGGATTGACAGCTGGACCCCCCTGACCACTTTGGCAGGGCTGGAGAGGATGCAAAGGTGTCCTCCGCAGCGCAGCGCTCTTTCTCTGTTTCTACCTCAGTCCCTATCTCTGGTCTGTCCCCTACCTCTTTGTCCCCTCTCCCTGAGGCTGTCTCGGCCCCCAACTGTGTTCTGATCCCATTCTCACTCTGCGAGAGGGCAGAGCAGGACAGACCCCAGATAAGTGTGGCGGTTGGATAAGGGGCCCAAACCACCTGAAGGCCGGTGCTTGCACAAGGAGCGGCCGGGGCCCCTCAGAGGGAACCGACTGGATGGGGCGGGGCCGGCCGTCGGGGGAGGGCTGCGGGGAGGCGGGGTTGGCGCGGCCTGACCGGAGCCTCGGACAGCGCGGCGGGCACCGGGGAGCGGACGGCGGCCGCCGTGAGGTGAGGACCCCCGCGCTCCCCGGGCCCCCCGCTTCCCGGGAGCCACCCCATCGCCTCCTCTAGGGACTTCGAGGGCTCCCAGGGCCCCTCCGTGCCCGCCATCTCCCCCTCCCCTTCTCCTCCCAGTCCCCGCCGCGACCCGCCCCTCCCTCTTGTTGCCCGGCCTCTGCCCCCTCCCTCCTTGCCCCCTCCCTCGCCGCAGCCTGAGCTGCCCTAAGCCGCCCCGCCCGTCCCAGCCACCCCTGTCCCGCCAGCACCTCCTGCCTCCCAGACCCGTGCCCTCGAGCTGGGCCTGAGTCACCGGGAAACCGGGCCCTGACTCAGGGCGGGAGGCTGAGAGGGTTGGGTCCCAGCCAGAGGGAGGCAGAGAGAAGCCAGAACTAATGCTGTGACCCAGTAGGGGAGCAACAGGGAGAGAGCACTGCAGTCAGAACTTATGGGAGTCAGAATCAGAGATAGGTTCAGGGAATATGAGCAGGGTTAGTTAGGATCAAACTGACCCAATGGTTCAGAGGCTCAGATGCCTGAGCTCCAGGGTGTATATGGGGAGGGACAAAAGAAGGCTTGCAGAATGGGGTGTGTGTGTGTGTGTGTGTGTGTGTGTGTGTGTGTGTGTGTCACTTGACACTGCTAGGTCTTTACAGGGTGTGTACTGACACATGGGTGGAAAATGGAGAACGCCTTGGACTATCCTGGCCTCTGGTCCCTCATCTTCCTGACTGGGTTCTCCACCCATCCCTGTTCCCTAAGTGGCCTCTCTCTAGGCCAGGACCCCACACATTGGAACTGTTTAGGGCCCTCTGGGCAGCCTGACTAAGGCAGGCAGGATGTGGGGGTGGCCAGGCTAGAGGGACAGGAAGGAAGTCTGAGGAGAGACAATAGGTGGAAGGGGAGGAGGAACTGGGAAGGACCAGGATTAGGATGTGCAGTCTAAAACCTCAGATCTGGAAGCCAGTGGGAGTGGGGTCTGCTCCTCCTTTCCCTGACCTAGACTGTCACCCGACGTGTCTTATGCAACAGCTGGAGCTGGCCACATCAATGGCCCCCACCACCCCACCTTCCCACCCCATTTTGCCCAGCAGGGTTCAAGCATCTTGTCTGCAGCTACTCAGTTGAGTGTGCCATATGGAAGGGCAGAGCGTTGACCCCAACGGGGTGAGGGCAGACATGGGGCCCAATCCTAGCACTACTCGCTGTGAGCCTGGAACAAGCCCCTTCTCCCTGGGCTTCAATTTTCTCAACTGCACACGAAGGGGCTCTCATGTAAGGAGAGAGCCATTTATAAAGATCTGGGATGTCTCTCTGCCTCTAGAGGGCAGGCCTTTGGGCATTTTTCTTTAGAGGAAGGCCAGAGGCTGGTATCCTCTGTTCAGGCCTCAGACTTTGGGGCAGGGAGGGGGAATCTCAGCCTGAGCCCTCCCTTCACCCTGCCCCTCCCCCCAGCAATGGCCTGAGCCCCCATGGCTGCCCCTCAGGACCTGGACATCGCTGTGTGGCTGGCTGCGGTGCATCTGGAGCAGTATGCAGACACGTTCCGGCGGCATGGCCTGGCTACGGCGGGTTCAGCCCAGTGCCTGGGCCACGAGGAGCTGAGGCAGCTGGGCATCAACGCCACTGGGCACCGGAAACGCATCCTGCGCCTGCTACAGGCCGGCACTGCAGAGGACCCCCTGGATCCTAAATCGGATAGTACCATGGAGCCATCCCCCAGCCCAGCCTCCCAAGCCCAGCCTTCCAAGCCGGTGCCCAAGCCCAGGACAGTGTTTAGTGGGCTCAGTGGCCCTACCAGCACTCAGAGACCTGGGCTGAGCCCAACCTTCTGGAGGCCAGAAGAGTCCAGGAGCTCAGAGTCCAGCCCAAGGTCCCCTCCTCTCCCCACCTCCTCCTCTGAGCAGACTTCAGCCCTGAATACCATGGAGATGATGCCCAATGCCATCTACTTTGGCCTTGACTTAAGAGGAGGGGCCCAGGTGGCTCAGGACATGTAAGTAGAGTTGGCAATCTAGGGATCTAATAATGGGGAAGGAGAAGTAGGACATGAAGGGAGTTTGCCCTCCTTTCTCCCTTAATAACCCATAGATGCTTTTTCTAAGGGCTCCAGAGAGCGCCCAGACAATTGCCCCCACTCCTGCCCTCAGGCCCACCACAGGCACAGGTAGGTAGGCTATCCTGGGCTCAGGGGAGAGGGACTGTGTCCATCAGGGCTTTAGACTCTCCCACCTGATCCTCTCTTCCTCTCTCTACCCATATTGTCAATTTGCCAGTGCATATCATGGATCCCGGTTGCCTGTACTACGGTGTCCAGCCTTCTGGGGTCCCAGGTGGCCCTGATAGAAGAGAAGGCAGAGGTGTCTGTCAGGACAGGGCTGAACCCAGGTGAGTACACAGTCAGTTAGTAATGGGAGGACACCTGCAATCCCAGCTACTCAGGAGGGTGAGGTAGGAGTATTATGGTCTGAGGCCCTCCCAGGCAAAAGTGTGAGACCTTATTTGAAAAGCAAACTGAAAGCAAAAGGACTGGGGGCTTAAGTGGTAGAATGCTTGAGGACCTAATTTCAAACCCTAGTATCGCCAGGAAAAAAAATTATACACACACACACACACACACAAAACTTTTCCTTTCATTCAGCAAATACTTATCAAGCAACTGTTAACATGCCAGATGTAGACACTTGGGATAGATCAGTATACACAGAAATGCCTGCTCTTGTGGGGAGATGAAATGATCAGTTAATAAACACAATGCTTTATATAGTATATTAAATGGTGTAGGTGTCATGGGAAAATAGAGAAGGGTCAATGTGAGGGAACTGCAGTTTTTCAGTAAGAATTATTGGAACATTAAGAAGACGATATTTGAACAAAAAACTTGAAGGAGCTGAAGGAGTTAGCCATGACATTTCTGGGGAAAGAGAGAGTGGTCAGAATGGAGGCTGCCAGGAGGGCCTGTGCTTACGGGGAAGCAGAGGCAGTGAGGAGGCTGGCAGCATAGCTGGAGCAGGTAGGGTGGGCTGAGCCAAGGTGATGTCAGAAAGATAAAGGGGCTTTGTTGGTGGGATCTTGTAAGGACAGTCATGTTTACTCTCAGTGAAATGGGAAGCCATTGGAAAGATTTTGACTTACTTTCCAAAGGATCTCTCTGGTCGCTGTGTTGGGAATGGGGGCAAAAGCAAGTTTGGAGGTTTTTACAGTAATCTAGGTGAGAGATCTAAGTGCAGTGATGGAAGTGGAGGTGATGACAAGTGGCTACATTTTGGGGGCAAGCTGTCTAATTAAGTTGGGGTGTGAGAGGAAAACACCAGTCAAGGATAACTTCAAGGGCTTCGGTGTGAGCTTGTGCTGTCCTGTGTGGTAACCGCTAGCCATATGTGACTACTGAGTATATGAAACATGGCAAGTCTGTGTTGAGATGTGCTGTAAGTATAGAATACCTACCAGATTTGGAAGGTTTAGTACAAAAAATACTGGATGAATATAACAGATACAGAAATAAATTATCTTAGTAACTTTTATATTGATTACATACTATACTCTTAATGTTTTAGATATACAGGGTTAAATAAAACATATTATTAAAATTGTTATATTTGGGCTGGAGGCATGGCTCAAGTGGTAGAGCACCTGCCTAGCCAGTGGGAAGCCCTAGTTCAAATTCCAATACAGTCAAAACAAAACAAAACAAACAAACGAAAATTAATTATACCTGTTTCTTTTGATTTGTTTAATGTTGCTATTAGAAAATTTAAAATATTGTATGGAGTCCACATTGATTTCTGTTGGACAGCACTGTTCTTAGCAACTGAAATTTCATGGAGTTGCCATGATCTGAGACAAGAAAGACTGTGCATAACATAAGTGGGAGGAGGGGGTAAATCAGGAGCTCTGTTTTGGACATGTTGAATTTGAGATGTTTATTTTACATTCAAGAAGAGGTGATGAATAGATCATTGGCTACACAAGTCTAGAGTTTGGGTGACAGGTCTGAACTGGAGATTTCATTTGGACATTGCAACATTAGTTGGGTGTACATAGCTGTGAGGGAGGGAGTGTAACCAGAGAAGAAAACCAAGATCAGAGACCCAGTGCCCTCCCATATCAACAGATTAGAGGTAGAGGCGGGTCAGCAAAACAGACTGAAAAGAAATGGCTGGTGAAGGAGAAAGAAAATCAGGAGAATGTGATGTCAGAAGAGCCAAGGAAAGAAAATTTGTGAGGAGGGGGAAGAGGTCGACATCTCAGATGCTGCCGAGTGGTCTGCTGCTGACCAAACTGGGACTGAAAAATAACGTCTGGAATTGGCAACATGGAGGTCATTGTTGACCAAGGGCAGCCTTGGAGCAGAGGGAATGAAAACCTGATCAGTGGCTTTAAGAAAGAATGGAAGGAGAGGAGTTAGAAATGATAGACAGTGCTGTTGAGTTTTTCTACAAAGAAGAACAGCTGGAATGACTTAGAAGTGGAGTCAAGCAGAGTTTGGTTTTTTTTTTTAAATAGGATGGAATGATATATATGTGTGTAAGTGAGAAAGAGGGCCAATTAGCTATGTAGAGAGAGAAAGGGGAGAAAGTCTGGAGCAATGTCTTTGTGTAGATGAGAGGAGTAGGATCGAGTGCACAGAGGAAGGTCTGGCTTTATACAGGGGTGTTTATTTGTCATAAGATGGAGGCAGAGTATGTGTGTGAAAGTGGGTAGATGTGGCACTGGGAGTCTGTGGGGTTCTTGGCTGATTGCTTCAATTTCTCAGTGAAATAGGAAATAGGATAGATTAGTGGTTCTCAATCTTAGCTATCCTATGGCCTGGGGAACTTTTAAAACTATGGATGCCTGGGCTTCACTCCCAGATTCAAGTTGAAGTTATAAAGCCCATGTACTGATATTTTTTTAAGTTTCCCAAGCGATTTTGTGCTGTTGAGGTTAAGAACCACAGGAGTAACAGAGGAAAGCCTCTGTGAGAACATAGTATAAGCAGAGACCCTGGTCTGGAGGCCCACACCAGGGAAGCACAGAAGGCAGGGAGTTCTAGGCAGAGGGAACATGTGTGAAGGCTCTGAAGACAGAAGAGAATGTAGGTGGATGAGGTGATACAAGATGGGTCAAGGAGTAGCTGTGGGTCTCACTGTGCAAGTCTTTGCAGTCCATGCTAAGGGATCTGAGTTTACCCTAAGCGCAGATAGGATGTTTCTGAAGGGCCCATGCAGGGGAGTGAAATGATCTCATTTTGCATTTTTAAAGAGTTCTAGTGGCTGTGGGAAAATGGATTGTGGGAGAGAAGGCAAGAAAGAAAGCAGGCAACCAGTTAGGTAATTTGCAAACTGATGGAAGCTTGGTGCAGGGAGAGAAGGTCAAGAACTTTTTACCGCACCCCCCCCCCAAATAATACTAATGGCAGAGGAAAGGGACTGAAATTTTCCAATTCCAAGTATGCTTAGAGAAGAAGAAGGTCCATGATAATCTTTTGGGATCCCAATCTCCCTACCCTGTTTGAAAAGCAGATCTGGTACCCATCAGGCATTCTACAAAGTGCTGTGGGTCGGGGTGGAGAAATTACAGAGAGTATTGGGTCCTGACGTATATGCCTCCCTGTTCTGGCCCCTACAAGGCTCAGCAGGCAGGATCTGGAGGCACGGGAGGATGCTGGCTATGCCAGTCTTGAGCTACCTGGGGACTCCACTCTTTCGCTACCCACCCTGGACACAGAAGAGACCAGTGATGATCTCATTTCACCTTATGCCAGCTTCTCCTCCACGGCAGACCGCCCCACGCCTTTGCTCAGTGGCTGGCTAGACAAGCTCTCGCCTCAGGGGTGTGGCTGCTGGGAAGGGAAGGGAGAAGGAAGGATACAGGGAGGTGGAGGGGGATGGGTCCCAGGTGTTCCCATACCCTGTGATCCCCTACCCCGTGCAGTCCCATTCACTCACTGATCTTGGTCCCTTCCTTCTTCAGAAACTATGTCTTCCAGAGACGCTTTGTGCAGTTCAATGGGAGGAGTCTGATGTACTTTGGCAATGACAAGGTGGGGGACTGGAGCTACTACGTGGAAATTAGGGAGAAGGAGGCGGGCTGAAAGAGGCTCCAGATTAGAGGACGGGAAGCCCATGGTGTGGGGGTGACCACAACCTGCCTGATGTCAGCATTTAAGGTAGCTGGCTTAACAGCTATAACCATTGCTTATGGATCCAGTGCTGATCTCACAAAAGCTGGTGCCAGGCCTTAAAGTCAGTGCATATGGCTCAGTTCTTGTCCCTATGGGTCATTGGGCTCCCTCTTCAGGACCCCTTCCCCAAGGGCGTGATACCTCTGACAGCCATTGAGATGACTCGCAGCAGCAAGGACAACAAGTTCCAAGTCATTACCGGCCAGAGGGTGTTCGTGTTCCGTACAGAGAGTGAGGGTGAGGGACGGGACTCACTGGGTCTGGGTGGGAGGGAGAGGCTGCCTGAACACATGGCCCACTGACCTGCTTCCCTATCCTCTTCCAGCTCAGCGGGACATGTGGTGCTCCACACTACAATCCTGCCTGAAGGAGCAGCGCCTTCTGGGCCACCCCCGCGCCCCACCCCCACCCCGACCCCTCCGCACTGGCATGCTGGAACTGCGTGGGCACAAGGCCAAAGTATTTGCTGCCTTGAGCCCTGGAGAGCTGGCGCTATACAAGAGTGAGCAGGTAAGAAGAGCTGGGATGAGGCTGATGAACCTGGCATAGATCATTCTGGCACCTAACAATGCCTACCCCCGATGCCACCAGGCTTTCTCTCTTGGCATTGGGATCTGCTTCATTGAATTACAAGGCTGCAGTGTCCGGGAGATCAAGAGTCGAAGCTTTGACCTGCTCACACCCCATCGCTGCTTCAGGTGGGGCCTGAACTGGTGGGAGGCAAGGCTGAGGGTCCTTTGGGAGGAGGTACAAGGGAGCAGAGAACCAGAGCCTTCCTTAAAAGGATGCCAGTAGATATGCACTGATGGGAGCCCAGGGAGCAAGGTCGAGATGTGGCCTGTGGTAGCTCCTTCAGGAATGGCCATTGGGATGGGATGTGGAGGAAGGTTCATGCCCACGGACTGGCTGTCTTCCCCCTCAGTTTCACAGCCGAGTCTGGGGGTGCTCGGCAGAGCTGGGCAGCTGCTCTGCAGGAAGCAGTAACCGAGACCCTGTCTGACTACGAGGTGGTTGAGAAGATCTGGTCAAATCGGGCAAACCGGCATTGTGCAGACTGTGGAGCTTCCCGCCCAGACTGGGCTGCTGTCAACCTGGGGGTGGTCATCTGCAAACAGTGTGCAGGTGAGGATAGGGGCCTCAAACCCAAATGAGGAGAGGAAGGGAGACTGGGGCAGGAAGGCTCAGGATATCCATACTGCTTGCTTTTCACACTCTAACAGGTCAGCACCGGGCCCTGGGCTCCGGGATCTCCAAAGTGCAGAGCCTGAAGCTGGATACAAGTGTATGGAGCAATGAGATAGTGCAGGTAAGGGGTCTGAAGAGGGAGAAAGGGGGTGAAGTGGAAGGGGGAGCATTCAAAAAAAGCCCCAGCTTGGGGACAGGATTGGGATGTCTGGGGACCACTGAGTGCTGGTCACTTGCCTTTGCTCCTTGTCATCCCGCAGTTGTTCATTGTCCTGGGAAATGATCGTGCCAACCGCTTCTGGGCAGGGGCACTGCCCCCAGGTGAGGGGCTGCATCCTGATTCAAACCCTGGGCCTCGGGGAGAGTTCATCTCTCGAAAGTATCGGTTAGGTCTCTTTCGGAAGCCCCACCCTCAGCATCCAGATCACAACCAGCTTCTCCAGGTAGGAGAGATAGGTTGGAGCACATGGGAGACAGCCTCTGAGGTGGAATGCCTGACTAAGGGGGGTGTGTGTGTGTACTGCTTTTTTGATGATGGAGGACTTTGCCCAAGGCTTTGAAGTTGAACTTGGGACTGACAGAGGCCCTTTCACCACTGCAGGCTCTGTGTGCAGCTGTGGCAGGACCCAACCTCCTGAAGAACATGACCCAGCTCCTCTGTGTTGAGGCCTCTGAGGTTGAGGAGCCCTGGTCCCCCTCAGCTCTTGATGGCAGTCTTCCTGGCCTTCTATCCTCAGGTCATCTACCCCCCAAATGCCTCCTTTCTTCCTTTCTAGGAATTTTCAACCTGAACCTGTGATTTAGTCTTTCCATGAGACCCCAATTACCCCATCACTTGATTGATCACAGTGGCCCAGTTTGGACAGTTTCCTAGCCCCTCAGACCATCCAGGGACTATTTCCTGAGGGCATGAGGTGATTGATGAGGCCTGAGGTCACGACCTGAGGTGGGTTGGGATGTGCCAGGTGCTTGTGCTAGTCCCTCCTGACAGGGTCAACCTATAGGTGAGTTCTCGTCTCTCTGAGGTCAGTCTGATTGCTCAAAGGAGTGGTCACCTTCAGAAGGGCCAAGTCACTTACTGGATGGCCCAGGCCCTGAAGTCCCCACCTAGACCTACTGCCTGGTTGTCTGGCTAGTAAGGAGAGGCAGTAGAAGCCTCCCTGTCTCCTCATCTCTTGCCACACTCTTCCAGTCTGGTAGGAGGGATCAAGCCCCATTGCGTTCTACTTGGCCATACGACTAGTACAGTTGGATCCCATGGTCTTCCTCCATTGACTCCTTTCCCAACAGTGGTCAGTCCCATTGTACTGGCCTGACCTGATCCCTTCTTCTCTTTGCAGACCCCTCCCCTGGTGTCTACAATGAAGTGGTAGTGCCTGCTACTTACAGCAGTTTCCTATACTGTGGTCCCATCTGCAACAAGGCTGGACTCCTACCCCCTCGCAGGGGCCGGGATGGTGAGGTGGAGCCAAGGGATGGAAGGAGATGGGCAAAATGTGTGGGATAGGCATGAACGGACCACAGAGGAATAGGAAGGACAGGGCTGGGATGGGAAAGTGGGACCAGATCTTGGAGTGAGCTGGAGTTCTGGGGGTGAGAGAAGGACCATGCCAGGTGGCAGCACTGGGTGACAAGAGCCTTTGCTCTGAAGTCAGAATGTCTGTGTCAAATCCCCAGCTCTGCTACTACTTCTTACCTATGTGATTAGGCATGCTGCTCAAACTCTGAGCCCCAGTTTCCGCATATACAAAACAGGACTGAATAAAACACCTACTTCGTAGGGTTATTGTGAAGATTATGTGGATCATCCATAGGCAGAAAGCTTGGCATAGAATAAATATCTGAGAAATGGGAACTATGACAGTGGGGGCAGGGTCTGCTGCCACCTTGACACCTCAACCATCTCTCTCGCACTTAGCTCCTCCCCGCCTGTGGTGTGTGCTAGGAGCAGCTCTGGAAATGTTTGCATCGGAAAGCAGCTCTGAACCTCTTAGCCTCATCCAACCCCAGGATGTTGTATGTCTGGGTGTGAGCCCTCCACCTGCTGACCCAGGTGACCTCGACAGGTAATAGCGTTTGTGCTCTTCCATTCCCCACCTGACTGGCCCCCATTCTTCTCCCTGACCTAACCTTCTTTACAGGCTCCCCTTTTCTTTTGAGCTCATCCTCACTGGGGGGAGGATCCAGCATTTTGGTACTGATGGAGTGGACAGCCTGGAAGCCTGGACTAGTGCCGTGGGCAAGGTGAGATAGCTAATACCCCTCCTCAGCAGCTTGTGATGTCCTGTCCTCACCTGCCCTTCCCTCATCCTGTTCTCTCATATTCCTATACACACTCTTACCACGTCTAACAAACAGCTAAAGTTGACCACATAACCTGTGCCAGGCTCTGTGTTTTAAGCACTACCCATTCAATATCTCTTTTAATTTTCACAGTAATCATCAGAGGTAAGGATTATCAATATTTTATGAATAAGCAAACTAAGTCTTAGAGATGACTAAGTTACTTAGTCAAGGTCACAGAGCACTGGACTAAATATCTTTAAAATTATGCCCCAACTTCAGTCTTCCCACAGAGCAGCTACCCCTCATTCCCCCTGCTCTCTGGTTCTCCAGCAACCAAAACTACTTTCATATGTCCCATATTCTCCATTCCTAGACAAGCCAATCTCTCCATCCTGGACCCCATTGCCGGAATTAAAAGTTCAGGCCCTGGAGTCATCTTGAGATTTGAGTCCTACAAACTTCCAACCTTGGGAGCTTTTCCATGTCTGCAGAGTAGTTGCAAAAGACTTATCCCGAGGGATGAGGATTAAGTGACATGTGAGGCCCACACACAGCAAACCCTCCTTATGTGGGTGTTGAAATAATAATGGTGGTGATGATGATGGTGGTGACGACAATGTCTCCCATCCTAAAACAGCTTTTCCCTAAGCTCTGCTCCACCTTCAACTTTTCACCCCAGCGCCCTCCTTCCCCTCCTGACAACTTCAGAAAGTCTGCAGCCTGTAGTTCCTCCTTAACCCTTTGCAGCTGCCTTCCTCTGCCCATACTCATCCAAGCTGCTATCCTGCAGGACACCAGTGATTTCTCATGTCCAAGGCCAAGGGCCATCTCTGCAATAGCTGACACTCTGTAGGAAATTCTCGGCTTCTCTGGCTTCTGACCCCACTCCCCCAACTTTCCTGTAACTCCTCAGACTAACAAATTGTCTCTTTTCTGGGCTCTGCTCTCCTACCTAGGTCTAAGTCTCCTCTTATATTATCTACACTTTGCAAAAGTTCCACCCATCTTTTAAGACAGTACTACACCATGTGTGTTCTGAAGACTGTCACACCATATTGGTCTCTGGACTATTTGTTCTGGTTCATGGTAGGATAAGCACAGAACTCGAAAGGAAGCATTTTGAATCTATTATAGCAATTTAGCAGAGTAATTTTATGTGTTAAATCTAATTATACAAGTTAAGGGCTTATATGTCTTTGTTTTTTCATCTTAATTTTCTGGCAATTCATTTTTATTATTTTTAACAAAGTTATTGCTTAGTGACAGATTGGAACTTAAAAAAAAGAAAGACAGAAAGAAAGAAAGAAAAGGAAAAACCCCTGGTCCTCTACCCCAGGTAGTCTGAGAAACACTGCTTTGAGGTGGTTCTCAAATACCCTTTCCTCTCTGAAGCCTCTTCCCAGGCTCTGGGGGGGCGGGATTGCCAGGGCCTCCTGACTCTTCAGAAGCATGTTGGGTCTCATTCTTTCTCACCCCACATCCCAGTTAGGACCCAAGTTTGCCACACAGGTTGGAGTGAATTGAACTGAATTTCTTTCCTGTCCTTTACCTATCTGCTCACTCTTTTCCCTCTACCATCCCTTGTCTCTTCCCTCACTCCCTCTCCCTGGCCTTCCCTCTGCCTCCACAGTGGTTCTCCCCGCTCAGCTGTCACCAGCTGCTGGGCCCTGGGCTGCTACGACTGGGCCGCCTGTGGTTGCGGTCCCCCTCCCATACAGCCCTGGCCTCTGGCCTCTGGCTGTCAGGGTTCGGCCTCCTTCGTGGTGACCACCTCTTCCTGTGTCCAGCACCAGGCCCTGGGCCCCCAGCCCCCGAGGACATGGTGCATTTACGGCGGCTACAGGAGATCAGTGAGCAAGGGGTGGGATAGGGCTGAGGGTTGGCCATAGGGGTGGGCGAGAGTGGACCTTTTATTTTATTTATTTATTCATTTTTGGCAATACTGGGGTTTGAACTCAGGGCCTCACAGTTGCTAAGTAGGCACTTTACCACTTGAGCCACTCCACCAGTCCAAGAGTGGACCTTTTAAATATGGGGATTTCTATGGGAAAGAGCAGAATGTAGTAGCTTTAGGCACAAGCTACTATAGATTTAGACACTACCTTCCTCACTACCTAGCCGTGTACCCTCGGACAAGTTACTTAACCTTTCCATGCCTTAGTTTCCTCATCTTTAAAATGGGCATAATAATAATAATAATACGTCCCTCAGAGGGTTACAGTGAAGTTTAAATAAGGTAATACATGTAACTGTAGAACATGTATTGGTTCTTCATGTTATTGTAGAACCTTGCAGGAGGCATCTTGTAAGTACACAAAAATGTTGTATATATGTTATTGTACTATTCTTTGTTCGTTGTGGACTGTGGTGGGGACAGGATATCCTCTTAAAAGAGGAATGTGGTAGGATAATGTTTTCAAACTTTGGAGACAAGAGACCCAAGTTTGAGCTCAGCATTGCTTTTTTTTATAGCAAGTAATGCGGGACAAGTCACTTAACCTCTTGATAAATGTATATAACTCATAGGACTTAATGAAGCATTGTTTGTAAGGCTCCTAACCTGGTACCAACATATCTTAAGCACTTAATGTTCAATGATTCTTCTTCTAGGTGTGGTCTCTGCAGCTGACACCCCAGACAAAAAGGAGCATTTGGTTCTTGTAGAGACAGGAAGGTAAGTGTTGTTCCTACCTTTAACCCCAGCCTCCTTTCTGGAGGCCAGCCCACTTTCTCCTCCCTGGCCTGCTGAACCACAGCCTGCTTCCTCAAAGTTGCTTCCCCACTTCAAGGATGATCTGGGTTGGGTACTGCTGCCCCCTGCTGGTGGTCCTGGGAAGTCAGGTCCCTGTGCTGAACTGTGGAGCTGACTCTGACTTGGGCCTCTTGGCTCTCAGGACCCTGTATCTGCAGGGAGAGGGACGGCTAGACTTCTCAGCATGGAATGCAGCCATTGGGGGTGCCGCTGGCGGGGGTGGCACAGGGCTGCAGGAGCAGCAGATGAGCCGGGGTGACATCCCCATCATCGTGGATGCCTGCATCAGTTTTGTCACCCAGCATGGTGAGTGGGCACTGGTTGATACTGAGCCAGTGGGGGTGGGATGGGATGAAGAACCTGCGACACGGCCAAGGTTGGGGAGTGAACCATCTCCAACCAGATATTGTAGCCCGACACCAACCTCCATAGGACCTGACAAGCTGCATTTTTGAGTCTTAGTTCTTTCATTTGTAAAATGGGACCAGCAGTCCTCATTTTTCAGGGCAGTTTTGACAACAAGCAGGGCCTGGCCAGTAGTACGTGTTCAGAGGTAGCTGACATTGGGCGTGGGCATGGAGGGTGAGGGCCACACTGGAAATGTGACTAAGGATGCAGAACCATGATGAACAGAGGGGAGCAGCTATGAGGCAGCAAAATCCCTGAAGGTCTGAGCAGATCAGTCTGTGTAGGAGAGATTTCCAGGCAGAGAGGGTCAGCTATGCAAATGGCCTCCTAAATTCTTTATGAGTGTTTGGCCTCTATTTTATTCTCTAGTCCAAGTAAGGACGAAATAGAATCTAGCTCCTCTCTGAAGAGGCTGGACTTTTGAGAAGAAAACCAAGGGTGGGTTCAATCCTCAGGACCAGAAAAAAAAAAAAAGGCACCCTTCAAAGAGTTGTATTTACTAGCCATGGACAATGATTAGTCAGTGACTAATGACATTCTCCACACCTTGGCAGTAGCCTAATTCAGTGATTTCCCCCACTCATGAGGCCCCTATCCTCTTCTCAGCCTCCCTTGTGTTCACAGGAGGAATGCAGTCTGAGGCCCAGTGAGAAGCCCTGGAGAAAAAGTGTGGGTGGTCAGAACCTCTCCTCCAAGGTCCTTGCATCACCACCACATTCATGCAACAGATATTCATTGAGTTGCTATCATATGCCAGACACTGGGGATGCAACAGTGAACAGGGAAGGCTCTACAAAGCTCCTAGACTAGTGGGAGAGATGAGTATTAAGAAAACAAATATAATCAGTTCTTATTATTTACAGAAGTTATGTTCTATAAAGCCACTGTAAACACTTAATTAGTAATACTTAGTCATTGCCCCAACAAAGATAACAGGTTTAGGTTCCTCTGAACTTCTGGTTACAACATTTTCATCAACCATTCAATGCAAAATCTTGGTTTATGTGTTTTTCAGTTTAAAGATACCTTATTTAATACACGGTTGAATCACTAATACTGAACTCAAGGCCAAGAGCAGCATAACTTATATCTGAATTAAGTTGATCTAAGACATCAATGTTCTCTGTAAGGTGCATCAAAGCATCCTCACACTTTGAACCACTAGGCAACATTTCAGAACTGTACTTGGGGGTCATTTTATAGTGAGATCATTAACAAATAGCACAAACATCTGAAAAATGTGACTCTGAATATACTGTGAAAAGAACATTTGTGACTGGGGATGTAGGTCAGTGGTAGAACACTTAGCATGTGCAAAGTCCTGAGTTCAATCCCAGCACTACCAAAAAAAGACATTTGTTTACAGTCTGAGACCTTAGTCAGAAACAAGTACATGGAAGAGGGAGTTTTCCTCTACTCTGCATACATTCACAAGCACAAAAGTATAGTCATTTCTCTGTATCCATGTGTTCTATGTGTATGTACTCAACCAATTGAAGATAGAAAATATTTGAAAAAAAATTCATCTGTACTAATTGTACATGTATTGTACTAAACATGTAGACTTGTTGTCTTGTCACTATTCCATAATGGGACAACAATCATTTACATAGCATTTACATCATATTAGGTATTATAAGTAATGAAGAGATGATTTAAAGTATATAAATTGATGTGTAGGTTATATGCAAATATTACATCATTTTATTTAAAAGACTTGAGCATCGATGGACTTCAGTACTTTGCAAGGCCTGCTAGAACCAACCCCCATGGATACTGAGGGATGCTTTACTGATTTTAGAATCACAAGTGAATTTTGGTGAGCAGGTGAATGCTCAAATATATGATCTATAATGTGACTTCAGAAAGTTTTACTTAAAAAATAAAAGTAATGCGACATACAGAGTGGTGGGGATACTATGTGTGACAGCAGTCAGAAAAGAACTTTGCAGCAAGGAGCTGAGAATGAAGACCATGGTGGCCCAGATTTCTTCCTTTTTTGACCTCCCACCCTCAGCAATCACATACCATGGAGGGAGTCACAGAGGGGCTTCTGGGTGGGTAGTGATCCATCTTTGTGCAATGGTGAACAGAGACCATTGGCTGTTTCCAGGGCTCAGGCTGGAAGGTGTATATCGGAAAGGGGGTGCTCGGGCCCGTAGTCTACGACTCCTGGCTGAGTTCCGGCGGGATGCCCGGTCAGTGAAGCTCCGACCTGGAGAGCACTTTGTGGAAGATGTTACTGACACACTCAAACGCTTCTTTCGAGAGCTCGATGACCCTGTGACCTCTGCTCGGTTGCTGCCTCGCTGGAGGGAGGCTGCCGGTACTACCAGGATCCCTAAGAACCAAGGCCCAAGTGGGATCTCCCTGTTTTCCACCAGAATCCATGAGGCTCTCTTGTGGGATTGGGCAGCCTTCCTTGTCAACATCTCCCATCCTGGGCAAATCATGCAGAGACTTGGCTCAAGGGGAAGTAGGCAGGCAGAGACACATCCATCCTGACTTGTTTCTTTAAAAATCCCTCCCTCCACTCCAGCCTCTATTTTCCTTAACTGGATCTTCCCCAACCCTTCTCCATTCTGTCCCCAGAGCTTCCCCAGAAGAATCAGCGCCTGGAGAAATACAAAGAAGTGATTGGCTGCCTGCCTAGGGTCAACCGACGCACTCTGGCCACCCTCATTGGGCATCTCTATCGGTCAGTATGACCAGGCCCTCTGCAGGCTCCCTCCCTCCCTGACTTCATCATCTAGGTCTGACACCACAATTTCATTGATTTGTTGATTCATTCCACAAACAGCTGTTAAGTGAAGGTGTTGTAGAATAGAGGTTCAGTGGATGAAATTTGGGTTCCCAAAATCACATTAGGTAATTTAAGTAAGCTAGAGATGATTTAAAGTGTGCAAGTTGATATGTTAAGGTTAAGTTTTAATCTGGCTCCATCTGTCTAGTTGTGTGACTTTTGGTAAGTTATTTGTTATTTCTTGAGCCTTGGTTTCCCCATTCCTAAGAGGAAGATGATGTAATGAATAGTATTCACCTCAGGTTATGTGAGAGTTAAATGAGATAATCCATGTGAAATTCTTAGTGAAGCACGTGGTATGTAGAATGCCTCCAGAAATGGTTAGCGATCAATATTATGTTGTTTTAGTCTATGTCAGGTAAGGGGTTATAAGAAATAACAAAGCTGAATAAGATGCAGACCTATCTTTCCTGGTCTGTTGGGGAGAGAGGCCTTTGAGTCATTCTGGGCCTTCTGTAATGTTGATTACAACATTACAATGTTACAAAGGTTGGTGAACCATAGGCCTATTGCCAAATCCAGCTCATTGCCTGTTTTGCAAATAAAGTTTTATATATAAGGTATAAAGCCACATCCACTCATTTGTATATTTTGTATGGCTCTTTTTGTACTATAACAGAATAGCTGAGGAGTCATAACGGAGACTATATGGCCTGACAGGCTGAAGTATTTACTCTTTGCCCTTCATATAAAAAGTGTGCCGACACCTGCTCTCTTTATGATCATCCATGCTTTAATTATCTTTCTTCTAGACTGTGAACTCCCTGAGGCCAGTATTATGTCTTACTGCTATATCCCTAGTGCCTAGACTAGGGCCTGCCATACAGTAAAGGTGCTGAACCAAAGAATGCATTGGTGAAGGGGTGAGCACAAACTTCACTCTTCATGACCCTGGTATCCTTTCTGCAGGGTACAGAAGTGTGCAGCTCTAAACCAGATGTGTACTCGGAACCTGGCCCTGCTGTTTGCACCCAGTGTGTTCCAGACAGATGGGCGGGGGGAGCATGAGGTGCGGGTGCTGCAGGAGCTCATTGACGGCTACATCTCAGTCTTTGATGTAAGGCTTTTCCAACTCCTGATCTACAGCCCCTCTTCCTACCCCTGCAGAACACAGACAATCTGATTGCACACCTCAGGAAGCCCTTGCCCAGCCCTCTGATGCCCCTCTGTATCAAGATCCTCCTCCTAGAGCTCTGGAGGTCCTCTTTCTGCCATAAACTTACTTCAAGAATCCTTTCCCTCTTGATTCTTCACTTTTCAGGTCCCCAGTCCTTTTATCCAGATCTCCTTTGGCCTTGAGGTTTGCTCTACTTCCCTTCTTTCCCAGTAGCTTCCCACTTTTGGCTCTTTCACAGATTGATTCTGACCAGGTAGCTCAGATTGACTTGGAGGTCAGCCTTATCACCACCTGGAAGGATGTGCAGGTAACATGCCCTGACCTTAGACTCCTGAGTGGGGCAGGAAGGGACACCAAGATTGGAAGCTGACTTTCTGCCTGTCACTCTGTATTCTGACCCTTGGGTCTTTGGGGGACAGGAACCCCAGGGAGGGAAGTGCTTTGGGTGGTAGATTTGCTTAGGGTTTGCTCCATTTATTCCACCATGAGGATTCTTGAAAATAGTGGCAGCAGTACCTCAAAGTGGTCCGAGGAAGAGTAAGTAAAGTCAGACAAAGCAGTGAGAATAATAAATACAATAGCAAATATTAGCTGAGGACTTCCAATACCCCAAGCACCTCTAATCTTTTTGTAGCATCATACAACTATGTGAAGTAGGTAGTTCTATCTTTTTCAAATAAAAAATTGAGGCTCGGTGAGTCACTTTATTCAAGGTCACGCTGTAGTGAGTGGCAGAGTTAGAGCCCAGGCAGACTGACTCCAAATCTGTTCTTTCAAACACTGAGTGGCATTGCCTTGGGTAGCACTATATGCAGCTAAAGATGTGGCCGCTCTTCCTGGCGCTCTCCAGGTGATGTTGGGGTGAGGGTTGAGAGGAAACCTTTGTGGAGGGAGACCAGTATGAGGCAACATGAGGAATCCTCTGAGTTTGGTGTTGTTGTAGTACTCTCTTGTGTCCTCCTGGTCTGTGTCGTGCTGATCTCATGTCCTCCTTTACCCTTCCCCTCAGCTGTCCCAGGCTGGAGACCTCATCATGGAGGTTTATATAGAGCAGCAGCTCCCAGACAACTGTGTCACCCTAAAGGTCAGTACTGAAGGGACTAGAGGGAAGGTGAAAAGATGGTAGGGGCAGAGGCAGTGGCTTGATGAGTATGGGTTTTCTGCTCCCAGGTGTCCCCAACACTGACTGCTGAGGAGCTGACTAACCAGGTACTGGAGATGCGAGGGACAGCAGCAGGAATGGATTTGTGGTTGACGTTTGAGATTCTTGAGCATGGAGAGCTTGGTGAGTATGATCACTTGTTTATGTGTGCTTGTGTGTGCATGTGCACGTGTGTTTGTGTGGTATTGTGGTCAACATCAATGACATGTGTTACCAAATACAATGGACATCCTACTCATCTATGTGAGACTCCTCCCCCCCTTTTTTTTTTTTGGTACTGGGGTTTGAACTCAGGATCTACACCTTGAGCCACTCCACCAGCCCTTTTTTGTGATGGGTTTTTTCAAAACGGGTCTTGTGAACTATTTGCCCTGGCTGGCTTCAAACTGTGATACTCCTGATCTCTTGCCTCCTGAGTAGCTAGGATTACAGGTGTGAGCCACTGGCGCCTGGCCTGTGAAAAGACTTTCAACATTAACCCACTCCTTCCTTCTCAGTACTCTTCTCTCTTGGCTCTAGTGAATGCCATAAGCTCTTGTTTTCCCTTCCATCTCAAAGGAGGCTTCTCTGCACCTTTGGCCAGATTCACGTATTCAAAGAATCCACAGTTAAATCCTGGGCTCTTTCTTCTTCATCTTCATCTTCACACCCAATCCATCAACTAGCTCTGTGGATTCCATTCAAATCTATCACTTCTCTCCATCTCTGCTGTTACCATCACCTTACACCTCCCAATATTAACCACTAAAACGTACGGATGGCTCCAGAATGGGAACAGCTAGACCGTGTTCCATTCTTGAGTCCCTACAATCCACTTTCTGCACAACAGCCAAATGAACATTTCAAGCATAAATCATATCATGCCATTCCCATGGTTAAGACCTTCCTACGATTTCCATTGAAATTAAAATTCAAAGTCCTTATCATGGCTTGCAAGATCCTGAATGTGTGGCTGCTGCTTCTTTCTCAGACCTCATTTCACATCACTCATACTCTTACCTGTCCTCTTTACTGCAGTAACACTGGCTTTTGTTGTTGCTGCTGTTTTGTTTTCTGGTGCTGAGGTCTGAACCTGGACTGGCCACACTATCTTGTTTTTCCAAAGACATCTTTCCCTACTCAGGCCTCTTACATTTTGTCCCATAAGATCTTATATGATCTTGGTATGGCTTGCTCCTCCTAATCCTTCAGATCACTGAGACTCATCTTCAAATGTAACTTCTGATAGGCCTTGCCTAACTCCCCTGTCTCAGTTGCTGCCCCGTTTCTCTCTCCTTCTCACCATCTGTTCTGTATCTGTTTTTATCTTTCTCTCAACTTATTGTTTCTTTCAAAGCAATTATTGGTCTCTATTTTGTTTTCCTATCTATTGTCAACTCCTCCAATAGGCTGTAGCTTTGGAAAGGCAGGTCATGCTCACCTTTGGATCCCAGGGTCAGGATGGAACCTAGCATAGAGTTAGTGTTAAAATAAATGTGGCTGAATAGTTGAATGAACAAATGAATGAGTGATTGGTGGGAGATGAGATGGAGGCTACAGGGTTTAGTCACATATTCTGATTGATACCTGTCTCCACTTTTCCCCTTCAGAGAGGCCACTGCACCCCAAGGAGAAGGTCCTAGAGCAGGCCCTGCAATGGTGCCAGCTTCCAGAGCCCTGCTCAGCCTCTTTGCTCCTGAGAAAAGTCCCTCTGACTCAAGCAAGCTGCCTCTTCACAGGTGAGCCTCTTTCCTTAGCCCAGTATTTCCCGTGCCTCTCCTGGGAGCCTTGGCCCAGCTTTACCCATCTGTGGCCAGGAGTCAGGCGTGAGAGCCCACGGGTGGGGCTATTGCGGTGTCGTGAGGAGCCACCCCGCTTGCTGGGAAGCCGCTTCCAGGAGAGGTTCTTTCTGCTACGTGCCCGTTGTTTGCTACTGCTCAAGGAGAAGAAGGTGAGGCCCTGGGGCCAGAGGGGTGGGATTCTGAGTGGCCATGCAGTAGGAGCAGTGACGGTACCATGTCTCCTGACTCCACAAGTCAATACCCTCATCCATCTCATTGCTTCCCTTACCTTGACCTCTCTGACTCTGTGATCACATACTCCAATGCTTCCATGACTTCTTGACCTTACTAACTATGACCTCTCTCTTCTCAATCTCACTGACTGTTTATGTTCTCAGAGCTCTAAACCAGAACGTGAGTGGCCTCTGGAAGGTGCTAAAGTCTACCTGGGAATTCGCAAGAAGTTAAAGCCTCCAACACCGTGAGTTTTTTCCCCCAGCTTTTATCTATGGCCTTCCTGCCATCACCCATCTGGCTTTTAGAGTCACCCCACCACTTCTCTTTTGCCTTCTAGGTGGGGCTTCACTTTGATACTGGAGAAGATGCATCTGTGAGTACCTCCAGCCTGTTTTTTTCCTCTGGCCCAGTCATGCATGCTGTCCCTTTTCCTCTTTCTTTTCCTTTCCATTCCTCCACAGGGCTCTGACCCCTTCACTCCCCTAAATCCATTTTGATCACCCACAGCTGCTTGGCCTGCACTGATGAGGATGAGATGTGGGATTGGACCACCAGCATCCTTAAAGCCCAGGTAAGGAGAAGAAAAAGGCTAAGGGATGGTTCACTGGTTTTCCAGGAACCCAGCTATACCCTTTAGTGCCTGCCAAGCCCACTGTGCCAACTCCTTACCCTCTTACCAGCACGATGACCAGCAGCCAGTGGTTTTGCGACGCCATTCCTCATCTGACCTCGCGCGTCAGAAGTTTGGCACTATGCCCTTACTGCCCATCCGTGGGGATAACAGTGGAGCCACCCTCCTCTCTGCCAATCAGACCCTGGTGAGAGACCCCCCGACCCCAGCCTGCCCCAAACCCGACCTGATCCCTGCCCTTACCTTTGTCACACTGCAGAGATCATGAAGTGCCTGCCAGCCTGGTGCCCCTTACTCTTCACTGTGACCCTCTGCTTCACCTTTTCTGTGCCCCCATTCCCACCCCTGCCTCCTGTTGCCAGGCCTCACTGTGTCTCTGTGTCTCTCCCTCCCCTCCTGTGTCCAGCGGCGACTACACAACCGGAGGACCCTGTCCATGTTCTTTGTGAGTACTGTGCCTACTCCAGCGGTGCGCCTGCCAGCCCTGTATTGCCTTGTGCTGCCCAAGCCCAAGTGTGCTTTATGTTATGGTGCAGAGTATCAGGATGTGTGTGTGTATGATGCAGAAAAGGAATGAGGAAAACGAGGGGTGGTAGGATTTGGTAAAGAAAAGAGAGAGTGATCAAGAATCAAACTAGAGGAAAAGTGGTTAAGTGAATGAAGACATTTTGGAGTCAGACAGACCTTGGTTCAAGCCTCCCCACTACCATTTCCTCATTAAGTAATCTTGGGTAACATAAGCCCTCTGCAGCTTTCACTCTTGCAGTGGAAGTCACTGCATAGAGTGATTCTGGTATCATCATGCCAAGTACTTTCAGCAGCTAGCCTGAGGAAGAGCTCAATAAAGGTTAGTGATTAGTAACCTGGTAGTTCTTAACTCTGGGCCCTCCCCTTGCCACCCCATTCCCATCCAGCCAATGAAGTCATCCCAGGGGTCTGTGGAGGAGCAAGAGGAACTGGAGGAACCTGTGTATGAGGAGCCAGTGTATGAGGAGGTAGGGGACTTCCCAGAGCTCACCCAGGACACTTCGACCTCCTTCTGTACTGCATCGGAGTGGACAGCCAAAGCAGAGACCTCCTTCAACAGCCAGAGGTCCTTTGATCAACCCCTCCTCTCTAAAGCAAGCACCCAGGAGGAGAGGCCACCTGATCCCCCATCAAGCCTCCCTTCAAAGAGCAATCTCCAGGCACGGGGTTCCCTGGAGGAGCAGCTGCTCCAGGAGCTCAACAGCCTCATCCTGAGGAAAGGAGAGACCATCTCAGGCCCAGGAAGCCCTTCTCAGTCTTCCACTCCACAAACCCCCAGCCCCACTGGCCTTCTAACACAGACACCCAGCTTCCCTACCCAGTCCCCTTGCACTCCCAGTTCACCCTCCAGCCAGCCCCTCACATGACCTTTGGGCCGGCAGCTGAGGGATAGGTACCCAGAGGACAACCAAGCTCTCACCATGGCAAACACTGCTAGGAGCTTCCTCTGCCCTGGCTGGTAAGAATCCAGAATCCAGTGTGATACAATGGAAGGAGTACTGGACTGAGACTTCTGGAAGCTGTGTGTTTCAGGGCTGGTCATGGCCCCTCTCTGGGCCCCAGCCCATTTATCTATACCATGAAGTCACTGGAATAAGGAGAGCAGTGAATGTCAGACTCTGCTTCTCAGTGTTTTAAGCTCCACCATATATTTTCCTTCAACAAGGGCAGCTCCTGCTTTATATATTTGATATGAAGAATTTCTGTGAGGGGTTTGGGGCATAAGGACATAAGGATGGTTTTACTTCATTAAAGAAAAAAACAGGTTTAGAAGGCAGAAGTGGGTGATGCTCTAGTCTATCCTATACTATTTACTATATTCTGGGCCTATACTGAAGCCCTGGGGCAGGGAGATTGAGACTGGAGCAAAGGGGAGCCAAAAAAGGATGGATCACTATTAATAAACCTTGGAACCAAAAAGCTACCATTCTTCCATTCATTCGTTCATTCCACAAATATGTATTGAGCTCCTAACTGGTACCAAGTCTGGGGACATAGTGTGGACAAAACAAATGGGGTACTTGTTCTTATGGAGTCTCCACTGCAGAGGGGAAACAGAAAATAGAAACTATACACAATGGGCTGGAGGTATGGTTTAAATGGTAGAGCCATAAGGTCCTTGGTTCAAACCCCAGTACCACCTCCCACCACCACCCCCCCAAAAAAAGAGAAGATACAGAAGTGAGTACACAGACATGTGAATTTAGTGTTGTAAAGAAACTAAACTGAACTTGAGTGACTATGGAGGTGGTCTTCACAAAGGGCAGACGTGAAGAAAGCTGAAAGATCTGAAACAAGGGTAAGAAGCTGGGCCAAGTGGAACGCTGGGAGTAGGAGTTTTGAGAGGGCAAACTGAAAGCTGTACAATGGGAAAGGACTCGGCCTGCTATGGGCAATATAGAGCTTACAGCAGCTGGAGAACTGCCAGTGGGCAGAGGGAGGAGAGTACTCAACTGGGAAAGACCAGCAAGGGCCCAATCATCATAATCTTGTACATCACAGATTCTATTTGGATTTCAGACATTTGGATTTTTATTTTGAAATGATTGTGTTTTAAGAAGAAAATGTGATCTCTCTCTCTCTCTCTCTCTCTCTCTCTCTCTATTTCTCTCTCTCCAAATCTCTGGGTGCTGTATGAACAGTGGGTTGAGGGAGAAAGCCTGGAAGCAAGAAGACCAAGATAGTAGACAAGAAAACTGAAAATGGGGGCTTGGACTAGAGTGATGGCCTTGGAATTTGAGGGAAGTGAATTAATAGGAGTGTGATTTAGGGGAGGGGATTTTTTGGGGCGAAAATAGAACCTGTATCATTTGCTGGTGGATGAAATGTGGGAATAGGAGAAAGGGCACACTGATGTTGGATTTTTGACTCTGCTAAATGGAAGGAGAGCAGTGCCATATAATGTTTTACATGGAGAAGAATCAGGTCGAAAGGCCTGATGGTAGTAGAGAGATGTGAATACGAAGTTTTGAGGTATTTAAGGATGTGGGGACCTGAATGTGGGGCAAAGGGGTATAGGTGAGGAGGATGAAGAAAGTGGTGAAGATCCTCAGCAAGCCATGCTAGGGCTGGTAGATCTTGGGGTGCAGAGGCTGAAGGAAAGACCCTACAGGTGACAGGGGCTTTCCAGGCCATAGGGCATCTTCGAACCTCATGTTCCCTCTTAGGTATCAGTTAGTGTCCAGTGGGGCCCAAAGATGTACCTGCCTTCCTTTGGGCTTGGTTCCTGCCTGGCTCCGGGCGTCTTTCTCATCTGCTCACACTGGCTTTTCCAGTTCAGCGGGAATTAGGAAAAGGTTTGAGTCCAGTCCTGTCTCAATTTGTCAGCCGCATCTTCGATCAGGTGTCCAGTGACTCAGTTTCCCTGTCACCTATTGAGTTCCTCGCCATTCCTCTCTTAGCGCGGGGACTGGTGATATACATATGTAAATGAATAACTAGAAATAATTACAGGCTGAATCAGTGGCTACACTAGAAATAGAACCTAGGCGTCTTGACTCAGAGCCCTGGGTTCTTCTTACGGCCCCGCGGACGCTGCGTCCGCCCCGCGGCCGGGACCCTTCCGGGACGTTCGAAACAATAACAGAGGCTCAGTTCCTCCGCGGCCCGCTGGCGCTTCCGCGCACTGCGAGCAGCAGGCCGGGCATGGGCGGAGCGAAGGCGGGGCCGGGCCAGGTCTGGGGCGGGGCTTGGTCGTGGGCGGGGCCTCATTGAGTTCCGGAGTCGAGTCGCTGGCCGCCTGGGCCCGAGCAGAGATGCAGCCGCCGCCCCGAAAAGTGAGATCGGCCGGGAAATAGGGACTCCTGGAGGACTGGGGGAGTGGAGGGAGACCAGAGGGCACCTCATCTGGGATGGGAGACCGGCGGTTGGGAAGGGGTCAGACGCTAACACTGAAGTAACCGAGGAAACACCTCAGCCCCTCCCCGGCCCCGCCCCCTCACCGCTCCCTGTGCGGTGTTTTTTAGGTCCCCACGCCAGGGATCTTTATTCTCCTCTTAATCCAACAGGTAAAACCCGCACAAGAGGTGAAGCTTCGCTTTCTGGAGCAGCTGAGCATACTTCAGACCCGGCAGCAGAGGGAGGCGGAACTGCTAGAGGACATCAGGTAGCCCCTGACCCATCACCATCACCTACTCCCTCCTCCGTAGCGTGCCACACTTCTCCCACAACATACATCTGCTTAGGTGAGGGAAAAGAGCTCCCCCACCTATCTTCACCCAGGCCTGCCTCTCCAGATACGGAGACACACATAAAAACAGAGGGACCCTCTCTCAAACCCCGTAACCCCACACCACTCTATTCATTCCCACAACCAAGCTTAGGGCAGAATCCCCTCCCTCTTCCAGACCTGTTGGAAGGCTGGCGGACACTACCCAGGCCCCCATCAGTCCTCACCTCCAAGCCCACAGATTCTGCTGGGGCTCTGAACAATGAGGTGAGGCTGTCCTGTGTTGCGGCTGCCCGAGGTGATCTCAAGGACTCTGTTTCTCCGTTCCATTCCCTCTGGGTGTAGTCACAGTCTGGGCTGGCTCCCTTCTTCTCCTGCTGAGGAAGAAGATTGAGGGTGGCAGAACAAGGCCAAACAGTAACACTGATATCACCCCCAATCTCCACAGATCCTACAGCAAGCAGAGGGCAGCCATTGAACGGGAGTATGGGCAGGTAGGGGACTCTTCTTTGACTTTCCCTCTTTTGTACCACCAGCAGTGTCCCTTTCTTATTGTGGTCAAGAGCAGTGCCTAGAGTCAGGCAGACATGTGTCTACTTATTAGCTGGCTGATCTTGGCTAAGTTACTTAACACATCTTGGCCTCGGTTTCTTTCTCTGTAAAATAGGAATAATAATACCTAAATTTCATGTAGGGTTGTTTTAAGGATTAAATAAGTTAATGAATGTAAGCCCTTTAGCAAAGCAAATAGCATATATTATGCATCCAAAGAATGTTATATTATACTCTGGTTTTGAGTTCTCCCATTTAGTGTGGGTCTTTGAAAGGGAACTGGGCTTGTGATGGTTTTCTCACCAGGCACTCCAGAAACTGGCTGGGCCATTCCTGAAGAGGGAAGGGCAGCGAAGCGGGGACAGCAGGTGAGTCTCATGGAGCAGGAGGTGATGGGAAGCTCAGCCTCAGAGACCTGTAGGGATGAAGACCTAGTAAGTGGGGGAAGGCACATGAGCTGCAGGTAGAGCTGACACAGCAGCAGGAGAGGAGCTGACCTAGCAAGGACAATGTGGGTAGGGGCGGAGGGCATGAGTGATCCTGTGGCTGAGCTTAATGGGCTGATCGATTGATGGGCTCCCAGACGAGGGGGGGAAGGGAAAGCACTCTGTCTCCCATAGTGTTGGGAGGTGGGGGGTCTCATGAAGCTCTGGAGTGTTCCCCTCTTCAACACAGACCTTCTCTGGGGAGGGGCAGGACAGTGTTTGGTGCCTGGCGCTGCCTGCTGGATGCCACTGTGGCTGGGGGCCAAACCCGGCTCCAAGCGTCTGACCGATACCGTGACCTAGCAGGGGGCACAGGGCGGAGTGCCAAGGAGCAGGTGCTTAGGAAGGTATGGCTCAGTGGATGGGGTGAAGGAACCACTGGCTTGGGACTGGAGATGGTTTGGCACAGGGTTTGTGTGTCTATACCACTAGGGGACGGAATGCCTACAGAGGGCACAGACTGAGGTGCTGCAGTCTGTCCGGGAGCTGAGCCGAAGTCGGAAGCTATATGGGCAGAGGGAGCGTGTGTGGGCCTTGGCACAGGAGAAGGCAGCTGATGTCCAATCCAGGTGGGCTCATGGGAGGTTAAGTGACCTGAGGTGGGGCCTGGAGAGGTGTGGGGTGGAACCAAGGCATCAAGGATGGGCCTAACCCTGTCTCTTACCTGCATAGGCTGAACCGAAGTGACCACGGAATCTTCCACTCTCGGACCAGTCTCCAGAAGCTGAGCACCAAGGTTCGGGGAATGAAGGCATGAATGGGGGCAGACTAGTGTAGTGGTTTGGAATTCAGGGGCCTGAAAAACTGAGTTGAATCCAGGCTCCTGTCCTTCCCAGGTAGGTGACCATGATTAACCTGATCTCTCTGAGTCTCATTTCATTTATACAATGGAAATAATGCCTTTCACTTTCATTCTTTTATATATGTATTCATTGAGGAGTTCTGTGTACTTGGCACTGTTCTACCACTGGGGTACAATGGAGAGCAGGACCAGTGGAGTTCTGTCCTCACAGCCTGGTTGAAGGAGATAGAGAGTATGTGCACAAATAATCAGATGAAGATGGAAATAAAGCCAGCTGTTATGATATAAGGGTAATGGATGAGATTTAGAGGGAAGGCCTCTCTAAACAGGTGGTCTGAGTGTCAAGAAGGACTTATCCATGCAAAGATCTGAGGGAAGAACATTCAAGGGAGAGGGAAGGGTGAGTGCAAGGGCTCTGTGGTGTTAGTAATTTTGGCTCAAGGAACGGAGAAAAGGCCAGTGTAGCCAGAGCAGTGTGAGCAAGGGACAGATCACTTAAAAAAGGTCAGAGAGGTTGCAGGGGCCAGCTCATGTTGGACCTAGTAATCCACCATAAGGACCAGTTTTGATTTTATTTTAGATATATGCAGAAGCCACAAGAGAATTTTGAGCCAGAGTTGTATGTGATGTTTTTAGTATAGTGCCAGGAATGTAGTAAGCACTCAATATGAGAATTCATTCTGGATCTGGATTTTGGGTTGGCCTTAAAGGACCCCAGGGATTCAGGGCTCCCTGTTGACTCTTATTTCCTGTCCTAGCTGTCTGCCCAGTCAGCCCAGTACTCCCAGCAACTGAGAGCAGCCCGCAATGAGTACTTGCTTAACTTGGTGGCCACCAATGCCCACCTTGAACACTACTACCAGGAGGAATTGCCAGCCCTGCTCAAGGCCAGTCCTATCCC